CTCGTCCTCGAGTAAACAAGTAATAAAACAACTAGATGGACTAATTATTCATCTACTAAGCATGCATGAAAATATCCCTCACTAGTTGCTCCAAATATATGTTAAAGAGGATAGCAGTGAAATATAAAGGAATGCCCAATTCACAAATTAAGATCATGCTTTCCAACAATTTAGAAATGTGTGTGTGTGAGACCAGAGAACGATTTTCCTGCAAATATCAAGTCAAAATGTAACAACTTAATATGCATAGAAACAAGCTCAATATCAAGACTTCATATGCCTAAACTCTTCTTCTCTCTCCACTAAAAGATCACTTCACATAATTCAAAATCAATGGGACTTTGTAAGCTTGTAGCGTGGCCAAAGGTTTTGGGCTTATTGAAATGAAAGGATAAATGGAATTCAAAGAACTTGAGATAAATGACAATGAGAAGCCAACCATTCCATTCTTGCTAGCCAAATACTTTCCCTCAAACTTATCCCAAATACCATTCCTTTCCTACTCCAAATTTATTGATATTGAAACTCTCTTTTTTTTTTCATTGCAATTTTTTTTTTCATGTATATTTCTATATATTTTTTTTTTTCTTTTTTTTTGAGGAGCACAATTAGTAGAATTTCAAACTTCATTTCCATTCCTCACACCCAAATTTACAATAACAACACCTCCTTGAACAACTAAAACAAACAAACTTCCCTACTAGCACACAAAAATTTTTTTATCACTTATCTCAAGAGTAAGGTAGTTCATGGTTTTTTTCAAATTATAGAGGCTAGGGTCTAATGAAGGTTTCAAAAAGAAAATACATAAGATTTTCAATTCCAGGCTCAAAAGGGGTTCAAGTGGAAATGATGCAATAGGTGGGCTTGAAAGGCTCAAACGCAATTGAAAGAATGCCCAAATCATATTTTAATATCATGCAAAGTGATTAAAATGCCTCAAGAGATTCCAAATAGATAGGTTCTAGAGTTTCTCAATTGAGAGAGAAAATGCACATAAACTTGCCACATAATTTCCTAATAGAGGCATTCAAATCATTGTCTGGTTCAAAAGTGCAAAACAACATTATTAGAAAGCAAGCCTTAACCCTGCAAATCAAGCATGCCAAATATTTATCACAACTTCCTATAAAACATACAGTTTAAGCGACATTCTATCATTGGATCACACATTCTATTCAACAAATAATTTCTCAATCTAGCTCAAATTTTAAAAGAGAGGAACAATAAATAGCTAAGTTTCAAAATTGAAGTTCATGTCAAATCAACCAAAATAATACCCTCCCTCACCCCCAAACTTAAATGAATAGTGTCCGCACTGTCAAAAGGGTAAAATGAGGGCTCTTTCTCATGCAACTTAACAACCAAAAAGAAGGTGCATGAGAGGCACAAAAATCTAGAAACCTGTAACAGTATAATTGAGATATATCCACAGGCAATCCAAAATATATAACTAACTACACCAGCATGTACACAAGTTATCATAGAGTAATTAGTTGCAAGAGATTAGTCAAGGTATCACATATTAGCTCCAAAAAGATCAAAGTTAGCCCTGCACAAAAGATAACAGAAGATTATGGCTAACCATATTTACCCAAAAAAACTAATCAACAGCTAATTAGAATTAAAAACAGAAATAAAAGGCAGTAAAGTAAGGAAGGGTGAAGCTAGTCAGCGTGAGTGTCTGAGTCTTGGCCAACATCAGTATTGGCCGCCTCTTCTTCTTCCTCGCAAGTCCATTTGAAATCTCTGGTGCAAGAATAGCTCAATGTGGTGGAGCTTGAAGTCAATCCGATCCAGCTGGCGCTGGAGGCCCTCATGCATGTTCTGGATGAGTGCTATGAGGTTGCTCAGTGTAGGCTCAACATAAGGTGGATCAATATGCCTCCTACCATCCGCAGCTTGATTTCCTCTTGGTCCCTCAGCACATCGAATTTCTCTATAATTGAACTTGGGCAAAGGAGGGATATGAGATCCTTCGGATAAGTAGGAACCTTCTTCTCTAAGCATACTTGAGTAATCAAGTGTGGGAACCCAAATGGCTGCTTGCGATATCTGCTTCTAGGCAACTTTCGCATATACTCAAACATGATTTTTGGAAAGTCAACAGGTTGCCTCATTATCAAGGTATATAACAGGGCAGCTTGATCAATCACATCGCTCATATGGGTCACTGGGATCACATTAGATGCCAAGAAGTGCCACCAAATACGAGTTGTCCTGTTCAGATTACAGCGTAGAATACTCTTGGGATTGCCATGGGTGTCATGTTGCCAAATATTTTTGTCAGGAAGGCATAGCACTCGGACTACATCATCAAATAGCAATTGAGTTCTATCATTCTTGTAGACAGTATATTGGCACTCTTCTATGGGAGAAAGGTGTTACACCTTTCGAAATGTGTCCTCAGTGATTTTTACCCATTTGCCCCGTACCTTACATCGCAAGGTATCCTTGCAAGCAGCGTAGGCATAGAAAGCTTCCACAAGTGGCTGAGAGGCATGGCTCTGTTCACGGATGAGGCTAGTGGCATGATACACATCATGCAAATCATTGTAGAATTGCTCAGACCATCTCAAAGGAAAGGTCTTTCTTGAACTATTTTTCTCTCCTTCAAATTTTGCTCAAAATAGTCTTGAATCGCAGCAGTGGCAAATCGGGTTTTATCCCATCCCGATCCCTTAGAACTTTCACCAACCTCAATGACCTTGGCTTTTTTAGAAAGAGGGACACTTTTCTTACCCATGGCCTGCAAGAAAGCACTCAATGAAATACCAATGAGCAACAGCCAGTATAAGGAAGAACAAAGGTTCAAACTTAAAGCAAACATGATTAAATGAAGCTAGCACAAAAGGGCACTTTACATAACATGTTTAAACAAGGTCTAGCTTCTACATAACAGATTTGAACTAAGGATTTAAAACATGAAGAGCAAAGCCAAGTCCAGAATCAAGAAGCATGACAGTGAGTGTTGAACACAAGTCACAATCATAAGCTCAAGTTTCATAATGAGAGCATTCAACCAAAGAAAAATAGCTCATTCATGCTTACCAAATTCAACTTGTACAAGTATGCCAACATATCACTCTTTTTATCCTTCTAAGTAAGCCAAAAATGGAATTGTCAATACATAAATAGCCAATCACACCCACAAAACTTTGAGAGAAAAAAAAATGCCAGGAATAGAGCTTAAAATTCAATGCAGTACACTTGCTTACTATCCAAATTTAGAACCAAATAGCAACATGATTGCATAATTCTTGTCAATTTGAATCACAGCTCTTACAAAAGATGCTCAATCAAGTTGAATCCTCCAATAGCCATTTTACAATAGGTTTAATTCAACTAGGAAAAATATCCAGCAAGGCAATATCAATCCTATCCCCTTCAAAAATTTAACTAGCCACAATAACATGTCCAGACTCAAAAACTAACAATAGTATCTTCCCTTGAGTATTCAAAATACAGGATTTAAGCCTTAAGCTCACGGGTCAAAGTTTAAGCAGCACAGGCAGATAAAAGGCAACAACGACAATGGCAAAATGACAGTGCAAAGAATCCTCAAAAGAACATTGCATTCTTGCAAACTCACCCCACATTTGCATTTAGTTCGATCAGCAATCAAAGGAAAATAATGGTTTGACATTTCTACATCCTTATCAGATCAAAATAGCCCAATCAAAGTGGAGAGGTAGAGAAGAAAAAAGAAAGACAAAAAAGAAAAAAAAATCAATAGATTCAGAACCTGTGAGCAAGCAGAGAGACGATAGCTCAACCACTTGAGGATGACACACGACAACGAATGGACAACGAGAAGAGCAGTGGCTATTGGTGAGTGGTTTGAAATGAAAATGGTGGATGAAATCGATTGACAGCAACGAATCAAGAGGAGCTAAGATATGAGGGTAAAGGAGAGACCGAGGGAGATCGACTAAGGGAGTGCTGGAGATGAGAGGAAGAAATAATGAAGGTGGGTTTAAGAGAGGACTATGGCGGAGACAGGGGCTGTGGTTTAAGCTTGTGGAGGAGAAATAGAGACAAATGGCAAAGAGACACCCTCAAGCTTCCACGAATAACTATGGCGGAAAGGGAGCTACAGTAGCAGACGGGCATGAACAGTGTAGCTCCAATGAAAATGGCTGTGAAACGAGATGCTTCTGAGCTAAGATTGAAGCTTGAAGAAGAAACACTCCATGATTTGAACGAAAATGATGACTAGTAAAGGAAGGAAACAGCAGTTTACGGTGAGGATGAAGACATCTGGTTTGAACAAAAATGGCAGGGAACGAGGAAATGAAAGAGAAGAAATGGGGTACGACGTGGGCTAGAGAAGAGAATCGAAGAGGGATCAAGAGAAACAGGAAGCGGTCTGGCAAGGGATACCGTGGATGCTGGCAGTGAAGAGCAGGGGAACGACGGTGACTGGAAATGAAGGGAATGATAGAACTGGACAGAAATGTGAGAGCGTGAAGAGCAGGACCAAATCGGATAGGGAAATCAAAGAATAAAGCCCGTGAGGTTAGCTGAGTATTCTTTTTTTTTTAGGACCAGCTACAGGCGCTGGAATGGAAAAGAGAGGGAGAATATATTTTTTTTTTATAAGAGAGCTGCAGAACTGGAAGGATAAGAAGAAGAAGGAAAAAAAATTCAAAACAGGTCCAGAGGAGATGAAAGTCGTGACTTTGGATTTAAGACTGAAATGAAAGTCACGACTTTGACCTTCTCTGGAATCTCAAAGTCGTGAGCTCAAAGTCATGACTTGTGTCAGAACTTTCTTGACAGTAAAATTCTGCAGCACTCTGTTTTCAAAAATCTGATTTATTCACCCCTTAAAATCTCTTCCAAGCACTCAATTTACTCCAAAATCAATCTCTAACCATCATTCATCAACCATACACAATTTCCTTCAATTTAAATGCAATCAACCCCCAAAAAGAATCATTTTTCATGAGAATCAAACCACAAAAAATTGCATTTACTTCAATAAGCTCAAAATGATTACCAAGACAAGTTTATAAGCATAAAAACAACTTAAATAGCTTGACTTCCCTGAAATTTTCCTTCCTTTTGTGCTCTTTTGTTCTTTAGGCACATTTCTTGCTTCTCCAAAGGCTTATACTTCCTCATATCTTCTTGTTAACCTACAAAAGAGACAAGATCACACATAACTTCACCAAAACAACTAAACTACAAAAGAAAAATCAAAAGATAAGGTTTAGAGCTTGGGTTGCCTCCCAAGTAGCGCTTGTTTTATAGTCATTCAGCCTGACTCTTCTCTCCTTCAAGAGGCTCAGATAAGGGCAAGGTAATTGCTTCACGATCTACCTCACCACCCCAGTAATGCTTCACTCGTTGTCCATTGACTTTAAATCTTTCTCCTTCACTGCTCTCTAGCTCAATAGCACCATGAGGGAATGCTTGGACCACATTGAACGGTCCCGACCATCTAGACTTGAGTTTGCCAGGAAATAATCTCAATCTAGAGTTATAAAGAGTACTTTTTGGCCTGGCTCAAATGCTTTGCATAAAATTTTCTTGTCATGCCATCTCTTTGTCTTCTCCTTGTATTGCCTAGCATTCTCATAGGCATTTAACCGAAATTCATCAAGTTCATTTAGTTGGAGAAGTCTCTTTTCACCCACGGCTTTAAAATCAAAGTTGAGCTTTTGGACAGCCCAATAAGCACCATGTTCTAGCTCTACGGGTAGATGACATGCTTTCCCAAAAACTAACCGGTATGGAGACATGCCGATAGGAGTTTTGTAAGCCGTTCGATAAGCCCACAATGCATCATCAAGTTTGGTGGACCAATCTTTTCTTGCCACTCCTACCGTCTTCTCAAGTATCTTCTTGATTTCCCGATTAGAGATTTCAGCTTGCCCGTTAGTTTGAGGATGGTAAGCAAGTGCAACCTTATGCTTGACACCATATTTCTTCAAGAGAGATTGAAATTGGTTGTTGCAAAAATGAGTACCACCATCACTCACAATGGCTCTTGGTGCTCCAAAACGGGTGAAAATATGCTTCTTCAAGAACTTGAGCACCACTTTAGCATCATTAGTGGGAAATGCCGCCGCTTCGACCCATTTTGAGACATAGTCTACAGCCACAAGGATATATTGATTGTTGAAAGACATGGGAAATGGTCCCATGAAGTCTATGCCCCACACGTCAAACAGTTCTACTTCAAGCATGTTGTTGAGTGGCATTTCATTCCTTCTAGAGATATTACCCATCCTTTGGCACCTATCACACTTTAAAACAAAGTCATATGCATCCTTGAATAAAGAGGGCCAATAGAAACCACTTTGCAAGATTTTAGATGCTGTCTTGTCACCCCCGAAGTGGCCTCCATAGTCAGAAGAATGGCAACATCTTAGAATTTCTTGTTGCTCACACTCAGGAACACACTTTCTGATCATTTGATTAGCACATTGGCGAAACAGATAGGGTTCTTCCCAAAAATACAACTTAGCATCATGGAGAAACTTCTTCTTTTGATGAAACTTCAAATCAAAGGGCAAGATGCCACAAACAAGATAGTTGACAATGTCCGCATACCACGGTGTTTGAATATTGTCAACCTTAAAGAGTTGCTCATCAGGAAAAGCTTCATCAATAACAACATTACATTTAAGTTGAGTATCAGTACTCAACCTAGAAAGATGGTCCGCCACTTGATTCTCAGTACCCTTCCTATCAATAATCTCCAAGTCAAATTCTTGTAGAAGTAGTACCCATCGAATTAACCTTGCTTTAGACTCCTTCTTGCTGAATAGGTACTTCAAAGCTGAATGGTCAGTGTAAACTGTCACCTTAGTACCCACAAGATATGATCTAAACTTGGTAAAAGCAAACACCACTGCAAGAAGCTCTTTTTCAGTTGTGGTGTAGTTTTCTTGAGCATCATCAAGTGTTTTGCTAGCATAGTAAATTGGGTGAAGTACTTTTTCTTTCTTTTGGCCAAGCATAGCACCCACAGCAAAGTCACTAGCATCACACATCACAATGAAAGGCAAACTCCAATCAGGAGCCATCATGATAGGCGCAGACACAAGTCTTTTCTTCAACTCTTCAAATGCTTTCAAGCATGAATCATCAAATTTAAATTCAGCATCTTTCTCAAGAAGAGTGCAAAGAGGCTTGACTATTTTGAAGAAGTCTTTAATGAAGCGGCGATAAAATCCCGCATGACCAAGAAAACTCCTCACACCCTTAACATTAGTAGGTGGAGGAAGTTGCTCAATCACCGAAATTTTGGCTCTATCTACCTCCAAGCCATTTTTGGAGACTCTATGGCCAAGAACTATGCCCTCCTTAACCATGAAGTGGCATTTTTCCCAATTCAAGACCAAGTTGGTCTCTTCACATCTTTTCAACACATTGGCCAAGTTGATCAAACATTCCTCATATGAATCCCTAAAAACCGTGAAGTCATCCATGAAGACTTCCATAGTTTGCTCAATCATATCAGAGAAAATTGCCATCATACACCTTTGAAAAGTGGCCGGTGCATTGCATAACCCAAAAGGCATGCGCTTGAAAGCAAAAGTTCCATAAGGACAAGTAAATGTCGTTTTTTCTTGATCCTCTGGAGCTATGGCAATTTGGTTATAGCCTAAATACCCATCAAGGAAGCAAAAGAATTCCCTTCCAGCTAATTTGTCAAGCATTTGGTCGATAAAGGGAAGAGGAAAGTGATCTTTCCTAGTGGCCGCATTTAGCTTCCGGTAATCCATGCATACTCTCCACCCAGTGACAGTGCGAGTAGGAATTAGCTCATTGTGGGTGTTAGCCACTACAGTCATGCCTCCCTTTTTTGGAACGCATTGAACTGGACTCACCCAAGAGCTATCAGAAATAGGATAGACAATGCCCGCCTCAAGCCATTTTAAGATCTCCTTTTTCACAACTTCTTTCATAATAGGATTCAACCTTCTTTGATGTTCCACAGAAGTTTTATGATTGTCTTCAAGGAAAATCTTATGCATGCAAATTGAAGGGCTAATACCCTTTATGTCGGCAATAGTCCACCCAATAGCTCTCTTGTGAGCTTTCAAGACTTCCACAAGTTGCTCTTCTTGTTGTTCATTTAAGTCCGCAGCAATAATCACTGACAAAGTATTGTTGGCTTCTAAATAGACATACCGAAGATGAGAAGGTAATGTCTTCAACTCAAGATATGGTGGCTCTTCAATAGAGGATTTCAAAGATGGTCTACCAAGAGAAGATAAGTCTAGAGATTCAAATTGGACACGGTTTCTAGGATAAACTGGTGATGCATTCATGATAGCCATACACTCTTCTCCATCTTGAGTCTTTAATTGAGCTCCTAGTAACAAGGCTTCTAAAAAATCATTAGGAATTGCCTTATTGAATTCTTCTTGTGCAACTTGATCAAGCATATCAACAAAGAAGCATTGCTCAAGATCTTTGGGAGATTTCATCAACTTGTGCATGTTAAAAGTGACTTGCTCATCATCCACCCTCATAGTAAGCTCACCTTTTTCAACATCAATCAAGGTTCTAGCAGTTGCCAAGAATGGTCTTCCTAAGATAATAGGAATATCACGATCCACCTCACAATCAAGGACAATGAAATCAACCGGAAAAATGAATTTATCCACTTTTACAAGAACATCTTCA